AGTAGACAACAAGAAGCCTGCCACGGCCATACAGTTTATAAGTAATATAAGCATCTGAGTGATTATTTTATATGTGGGCTGTGGGACTGCAGGGGCTTGGTGGGACCTGGAGAGAAGCTCTCCAGCTACAATTGCTGTCCTGTGGTAGCGTGCATAGCACTATGCTCTCTAGCCAGAAGTGTTAAAGATTCCAGGTTACAACCAGTTTGATGTCTTCATTTTCTATGACTTAAGTGTCATCAGCAGTAGGATCTTACCATCAAGTTCTGAAGAGTAACCAAAAACCTTGATAACATAACCTGTGGCATTTGGTGGTAGTGGTGGGGGTATATGTGGGATTGCAAAGGCTGGAAACTCCAAAAACAGGTAACCCATGCTGGCAGTGGGCTTTATATTTATTAACCTGTGCTGTGTACTAAGGGCATTGTCACCCCATTATAGGTGTGTCGTTCCCATCAGCCTTATGATTGCATTTCCTTGGGCATCACTCAGGCTTTTCTTCTCCTTAAGTTCTTTCTTCTTGATTTCATTGAACTGTTTCTTTGTGTCTTCTTTAAGCTCCATGAATTCTTTGATGATATTTATGATTGTTCATTTAAATGTGTGTCTTTGAGTCCATCTGGTAATTATCATCGGCAAATATTTCTGTAAGACTGCTAGGTTTTAGAGAGGAGATAGTAGACTGATCTTTCATAGTGTTTGTATTTTTGTGATGAGAAGATCTGGGCATGTGGACTACCTTTGTTATTACTAAATCTGATATGGACAGAGCAGGTTGGGGTAGAAGAGAGGATGTGCAGGTGAGTTGGGATTCCACTAAAATGTATCATTTTACATTGGGCACTCCATGATAACTTATTCACGTTTTTTGACAAGTTGTGCATCTCTGAAAAAGTCCCCATTGGTTTCAAAGGAAAAGAAAAGCATTTTTGATAAGGAGTGAGAGCTACATTTATATATAAAGATTTAGTTCTAGCCAGCATAATAATACCACCAGTTTACACACCTGTGTAGTCAGGGGAAATTTTACTTAGTCCTACCACCAAATGAAGAGCTACAGGCGATCACTGGCTGCTGAGAGAGGGAGAATCAGTCTCCTCTGGAGACAAGCACTCACTTAGGCTGTGCCCTGAACACACACACACACACACACACACACACACACACACACACACACAGGAACAAAGCCAAATAGACTCAGTAGGTTATATATACATGTGTGCATATAAATATATACATATATTAATGGATATAGAGAGAGACACATGTGTATACTTCTAACAATGATAAATAAGAGATCATGAATATGGAAGCAGGGACACAGGCATTAGAAATAGAAGAGAGAGGGATAGGAGTGAAGTAGATGTAGTGTTCACTACAAAATTCTCAAAAAAATATTAAGCATCATGATATTGACCTCACTTGCTCCTGTGATCCCTCCTCCCTCTCTTCAACTGGAGTCTAGGAGCTCAGCCTAGTACTTGGCTGTGGATCACTGCATCTGCTTCCATCAGTTACTGGATGTAGGTTCTATGGTGACAATTAGGGTAGTCACTAATCTGATTATAGGAGAAGGTAAGTTCAGGTACACTCTCCATTATTGCTAGGAATTTTAGCTGGTATCATAATTGTGGATTCTTGGGGATTTTCCTAGCACCAGGTTTCTCCCTAACCCCCTAATGGTTCCCTCTACCAAGATATCTCTTTCATTGCTCTTCCTCTCTGTCCCTTCCTCTATTTGGCTCTCTCAGTTCCTCCTGTTTCCATCCTCATCCCTTTCCTTCTGTCCCACCTCCCAGTTTACCCAGGATATCCTAACTATTTTCCCTTCCTGGGGCCCTCCATGTGTGACCCTCTTAGGGTCATCCTTTTTACCTAGCTTCTCTGGTGTAGCACAAATTTTAAATGGTCTTATTAATAAAAACAAACCTGGAGACAGGTATTGGGGTGAACGCTGAAAGATCAGAGAAGCAGAACAAGCCACAGCTACCTCACCTTGCCAATTCCTTAGCTGATCCTGTCTCCTCAGACTGGATGCCTCTCAGCTGACCTGTGCTGCTCAAAAGCCTAAAAGCTTAACCAGATAGTTCCTGGTTTTCAAGCCTTTTATACCTTTCTGCTTCCTGCCATCACTTCCTGGGATTAAAGGCTCTTGTTATCACACCTGGCTGTTTCCAGTGTGGCCTTGAACTCACAGAGATCCAGACAAATCTCTGCCTCTGGAATGCTAGGATTAAAGGCGTGTGCTACCACTGCCTAACCTCTATGTTTAATATTATGGCTGTTCTGTTCTCTGACCCCCAGATAAGTTTATTGGGGTGCACAATATATCAACCACCTTTGCTTTGCCTCTAATATCCATTTAAGAGTGAGGACATACTGTGTTTGTCTTTCTGGGTTTGGGTTACCTCACTCAGGATGATTCCTTCAAGTTCCATCCATTTGCCTACAAATTTCATGATTTCATTGTATTTTACAACTGAGTAATATTCCATTGTGTAAATGTACCATATTTTCCTTATCCTTCCTTTGGTTGAGGGGCATCTAAGTTGTTTCCAGGTTCTGGCTATTACAAATAATGCTGTTATGAACATGGTTGAGCAAGTGACCTTGTGGTATGATTGAGCATCTTTCGGGTATATGTCCAATAGTAGTATTTGTGGGTCTTGAGGTAGGTTGATTCCATCATGATGGAGAAAACCACAGAGACAGCTGACCCAAGCTGGTAGGAGCTCATGGACTCTGGCCTGTCAGCTGGGGAACATGAATGGGACTGAACTAGGCCCTCAGAATGTGGGTAAGTTATGTGACTAGATCTGTTTGGAGAGGCCCTGGCAGTGGGACCAGGACTTATCCTAGGTGCCTGAAATGGCTTTTTGGAACACATTCCATATGGTGGGATACCTTGTTCAGCCTTGACATGGTGGAGCAGGGGTGATTGGTCCTGCCTCAACTTAGTATGTCAGACTTTGTTTAGCCATGGGAAGCCTTACCCTCTCTGAGGAATGGATGGAGGATGGGATTGGGTAAGGTAGAGGCACAGGAGAAGGGGAGGGAGGGAAACTGGGATTGGTATATAAAATGAAAACAAAACTTTTTTTAAAAAATAAATTTTTAAAAAATTTAAACAAAAAAGTAAGATAAACCCAGGAATACTACCCAAGAGAGACCTAGAAGGAGGAGTGAGCTTGTTTGCTTTATATAGCAGGATTAAAGGGAAATTGTATACTTGTTTATATTCTTAAGCTTTGAACGCCAAGGTTATACTCAAAGACCAGTTTCCTTCTTGATATAAAATAATCTGCTTCCTGGCTTAACATAAATGAGGATTTGTCTTATAGCTTTCCATAGGAAGGAAAGATAGGCAGTTACTATGATTATGCTTTGTGGATAGTATGGGTTTTTATCTGCCTTCACTGTCCTCTTAACTTTGGCTGCTTGGAAACTCCAGGCTAAATTTGTAGCTAACTCGAAAAGTGGTTTGAATTTTTCAATGTGGGAATCTGGCAGCAGCTCTGCTCCAGAAGTCAGAGGGGTAAGTTGTCTCCAACCTGCAAGCTCTATCATCTGATAATGATAACCACATCTGTTAATGCCAGAACTTCGCAACCCAGTCGCTGGCATCTTTCAATCCTTCCACAGAATTTTTTAAAGCATTCTGTAACCTCTAAAGCATTATAAATACTTAGGGAAGCAATTCATACTTATGAACAATCTGAAACAATCACATTTGTATACTTTCCTCATCAAAAATAATAGTTTTTGCTCCTGCATTTCAGCAGAAATAAGTATCATTCCACAGGGCAAAAGATATCAAATATGAAATGTCACTGTATTGCTGGCTTTACGTCTGCTAATTTAATTATATTAGGAAAATACTCCCACCTGCTACGTAAGTCTCTGTCCTAGCAATAACAGGATTCTACTGTCCCTTGGATTTCCTCTGTGAAAGTATTCTTTTAGAAAATGCTAGGTACAATCTTTGAAAGCCATGAATTAACTGAAGACGAGCTTGAGTGATTGTTGTGTCTTGGTAGGCATGTGCTTCTGTTTGTTTGTGCTGCCCTAATACTTTTCTACTCACAGCTCTATCAGAAATCATCTGCCTTGACAGAGTCAATCCTTTTTTCTTTAGAAGCAATGATCCATTACAATGTACAGCACACCTGACTTAAAACACTTGGCTGATAACTCTGTTAACATCAAAAGAGAAAGAGGTATTGATCCTGAAACATACTGAGTTGTCAGAGGAAAGGTGATTTCGGTGTTAACTCTGGCACAGAATCATCCTCAGTGGTGTTAGGCCTGTGGTTGCTCAGTAACAGATAAGAACGAAGGTTTGCAAACCAATACTAGAACGTTTTATAATTTCTGATATTGCTAGAATGTGTGTGTGTGTGTGTGTGTGTGTGTGTGTGTGTGTGTGTGTGTTTTGGTTTTTCGAGACAGGGTTTCTCTGTGTAGCTTTGTGCTTCTCTTGGAACTCACTCTGTAGACCAGGCTGGCCTTGAACTCACAGAGATCCGCCTGCCTCTGCCTCCCAAGTGCTGGGATTAAAGGCGTGCGCCACCGCCGCCGCCGCCGCCGCCGCCGCCGCCGCCACCACCACCACCACCAGGCGTGTGTGTGTGTGTGTGTGTGTGTGTGTGTGTGTGTTTTATTTAGCAACAGCTATTCAATAATGATTTTTAATTCTTATCCTCATCTTTTTTCCTAAATAGTCTCTTAAGATCACATGAGAATTCATTTTTTAAATATTTGTACCTCCCATATAACATTTATTTTTAAGGTTAAATAGTAAATACAACAAGATTGATATATAATAAAAGATGATCTGTAAAAACAATCAGAACAAATAATTCATTTCTTCTTCTTGAAATAAGAGTGTGCACCACAGATCCCACTTTTTGGTCCTGAAATAAAAGCACATTTTGACTCACTATACAGCTTCCTGAAGAAGCTTCACACACTGACAAACTGAGTGGATTTGGAAATGAAAAGAACATGCAGAAACACATGGCCAAATTGGCAAGGATGCTTCCTGTCTGCAAAGCATCAACCAAGAAGTTGTTTCTTCTTCCTACTTGTGTGTCTTTTATTGCCAATGAAATTAGACTACAACATATATAAGAGCTGAGAGTGCTGGGCCTTTGTCCTTCATCTTCCTCCACTCAGAAATAACTGAGTCCTCCCGCCAGCAGACTAATCAGCTAAGAAGCTTCTCCAAGGTAGGTACCTGGAAATACGAAGCCCTTTAACTTGACATTAAATTTTGCCCGGCTTTTCAAGATAGCATCTTAACGAGCTGTTTATAGGATATTCCTGTTTTGTCAATGCAAGAATAAGCGCCTCCAAGAAATCATAAGTCATAAAATGTATCCTGTTTTGAAAAATTATGCAAGTAACAGGAAAGTATTCTTGTGGAACACTGGGGACAGTGAGTTCACCAAAGTCCACAATTCCCTTTCTCCTCCTTGTACCCTAGGGTTCTTTAACATTCATGGTTGATGGGCTACTCTCGGGTGTACTCGGAAATAGAATTATTCTAACATATATATTTACCATTTTTCTTGTTTTTTTAAGCGTCACATGATATATGTCTTAGAAAAAAACAATAGGTTACATTTGCTCATAATATCTAGTAAAAAAATAAACTGTTCCTAAGATTCTTTAAGGTTTGCATTGTTTGGTCGCCACATTTACACTATTAACATAGTTGACTGTGGAGTTGACAAGTCACTGTGTGCAGTGATATGAAGGAAGAACTCAGGCAAACTGACTCTGGAAATTTTTTGTTTTTTATGAAAAGTTGGATTTATTTTTTTATTTTATTTTATTTTTATTTTATTTTGCCTTTTCTTTTTATTAAGAGATTTTCTACTCATTTTATGTATCAACCATGGATTCCCCTGTCCTTCCCCCACCCTGCCCCACCTTCACCCCCAATCCACCCCCGATTTCCACCTCCTCCAAGGCAAGGTCTCCCCTGGGGAGTCAGCCCAGCCAGGTAGATTGAGTTGAGGCAGGTCCAATCCCCTCCTCCCTGCATCAAGGCTGAGCAAAGTGTCTCAGCCTAGGCACTAGGTCCCAAAAAGCCGGTTCATGCACTGAGGGCAGGTCCCGGTCTCACTGCCTGGGGGCCCCCTAAACAGTTCAAGCTAAACAACTGTCTCACTTACCCAGAGGGGCTAGTCCAGTTCCATGGGGGATCCTCAGCACTGGATTACAGTGCTTGTGTTTCCACTAGTTTGGCTATTTGTCCCTGTGCTTTTTTCAATCATGGTCTCGATGGCCGAGTGGTCTAAGGCGCCAGACTCTGACTCCGGAAATTTATCACAAACTTTAAGACACTGAAAAGAGCCAGGCAGTGATGGCACATGACTTTAATCCCAGCACTCAGGAGGCAGAGGCAAGAGGATCTCTGTGAGTTCAAGGCCAGCCTGGGCTACAGAGTGAGTTCCAGGAAAGGCTCCAAAGCTACACAGAGAAATCCTGTCTCAAAAAAAAAAAAAGACACTGAAAAGAAAATAGAGCTAAAGAATGATATTTTCTTCTGTCCTAGTTATTGATGGAACATGGTTGGATGTTAGAGAGCAGATTTGAGAACATTCATTAAGGACTAAGATGACTTAGCATAGTGTTAAAACTAGTCACTATATTCAGTGATGCTGTGATCTTTGGTGTATCTAACAGGAAGAGTTCTTCCTTATCTATTAGGTGAAATAAAAAATTAAATATGACAAAATTAAAGTGGTAATATCTCAAACATAAGTTTATAAAAAATGTGAATATAGAATGGCTATTTTTAAGAAAAAACAAAATGTATAAGTGAAAAATGTCCATTTCAGAATAATTACTTTTAAGTCAAAAACTTTGCTTTGGAAAGCTTCTGTTGCTCAGAGTCTTCATGGACAAATATCTGGCATTCTCTCCAGCCATCAGCTCACAAGTCAAATGTAAAAACTAGCTCCCTCATTATACAGTCAAATGTTATCAGCTGACCATACTACCCTACTAATACTGAGTCTAAGGTAAGGGCAGGAAAATTATTTCAAGATACACTGCACTACACATACACTCACTATGTGTTGAGACAAGTCTCAAATAGTACCATTTTGTTTTTAAATGAATGCTAATCAGCCATTGTGCTTACTTTCAGGAGACACCAAAGATGAAACCACTTTATTTAGTCTTGGGCCTTTGGATTCTTGGAGGATGTTTCCTGGTAAGTACCTTTAATCCCTACCACACATCTTCATATTCTCTTGTTAACTTTTACTTCAGACTTTTTCATATTATTTATTTGCCTTTCCTAATACATAGAAGCTGCAAATTGCTGATGAAATACCACTCTAGTACTTTAACTTCTACTTTGAAATTCTGGTTTAATTTAGTAGCCAAATAAAGCTGCCATATAGGATGCTCAGATCTATAACCTTATAGAGATTTTATACACAGATAAATCCCTTATGTTCCCATACTCCATCAACTGCACAGGTAGCTCTTCTTGGCCTGCTCTTAAAGCTGATTTTCAACATATTTATGTCCTCAGAATACAGGAGGAAAATTAGCTACTATTTTAAACAGTCATGTTTGGATTATTTAAACAATCTTTTCTTATAAAATGAATTTGGTGAGCATTCTAATCCTACAAGCAGTTCAGTGCAACAGTACACGTTGGATAAGTCTTTCCATGACAGTCCATGAGACTCAGGATGATTAATAATTGCTGCCTTCAAGTAAGAAGGTATAGTCTTTTCATAAGAGCAGAGAAATGGCCAATCATCTCTTGAGTATTTATTACATGTAATTTTCCATTGTTTGTATATATTAACTCATTTAACCCTCAATGATAATGTGACAAAGGGTTTATTATTAATCAGATTAAGCTATAAGCTTATATCCAAGGGATCTGTGTTTTAGCTATATTATCCTTTTTTATGTTTTTTTTATTTTATTTTTTTTCTGGAGCTGGGGACCGAACCCAGGGCCTTGTGCTTGCTAGACAAGCGCTCTACCACTGAGCTTAATTCCCAACCCCTTAGCTATGTTGTTCTTACACAATAAATGAAAGAGATTATCCCCCACTACAGACCCCTTAACAGGATTTTCTTCCTAGGACAATCCTTTTCATCATTTTTAAATTCACTAACTTAAGCTACTAATGAGACTGGAGCTAATCACTGTGAGTGGATTAAACATTAAGAAAATGATATATATGTCCAAGAAAGTTTGTCATTACATAATAGTCAGATCAGTATCAGGATGTCCTAAGGAAAAAACAGGAATTTTCAGCTAATTCTTTAGTCTCATCAACTATGAAAATAATGTGAATTATTTCCCCACACTTAAAATTTGTTCCTTGGCAGTTAAAAGTGAAATCCTGAACTTGCTCCCAGGGTGGTCAGCCTGTGAAATGGAACCCCGCATATCTACTGTCTGTATCTAATGCCAATGAGCTGCAAAACACAGAGAAAGCACTGATCCCAAGATGTGTCTTAATATAGTATACAGCGTTAATAATATCAATAAAAGAGCTATACTGCCATGTTGAGGGCAAGAGCTAAACAGAAACATGAGGGGACACAAAGAGTGAAATTACCAAATCTGGCTGCCCTTTAGTATCGAGTTGCAATGAAATAAAGAGGTAACAGTAAAAGCCAGCCATGTTGAAAATTTAGCACAAGCTTTTTGAGATAGGGAATGACATGAGGCAATGTGCATTTTCTGCAGAATGTTTTTAACCTCTGCACACTTTAGTTAAGGGAGAAGCAAAAAGTAGAATGATGAGTTCAAATGAAAATGTCATTATAATGATACAAATAAAGAGGCAGGGGAGATGAGAGACGTTGAGAACTGGATAAACAGAATTCAGGGGACAGGTACAAAGCTGTGATATAGTATTGGGTGATTGGACATAGGTGGTGGTCATTTTCTAAATGAAATGTGCTAAGTAAATGGAGGAACATACAGTTACAGTAAGTAAAAGAAAAATGACCGAGTCCCTGAGAAAACAATGGAAAAGTTGTTCTCTGACATCATTAGTGACTTTAAAGGCTGCATAGCCTAGACCGGAGAGGAAGTTCATTTATACCTGCTGCAATCTCTGGGTGAAGTAAGAGGTACTGAATCTGCAGGTAAATATGGGGGCGTGGGATGAGATAGAAAACTAAGAAAAAGAAAGTTGGTGTCCACATGGAATAGTACAAGCCTCTATAAAACTGGAGAGGGCAGACCGAAAAACTTGAGGGTTACAAGTCAGTTTTGAAGACCATAAATCTCTGCCATACATTGCCTATGGCGTCTTCTACCGTTGTCCATGAAATTGAACTTAAGGGGACAGTTTTTTAGGGTACACCTAAAATTTAACATCAGTGAAGGCAATGTGTCAGATGAACAAATTAGAGAAAGAGCTCAACAAATAAGTGAATGAATCTGTATCCTAGCCAACCATCAGCTCCAAGCAAGCTTGACTAAGAATCAACAGCGTGGGACTAGGAGCACATACGTTCCCTCTCGTTGGCACGGCCCTTTGTGTTTTATAGTCTTCTGACCTCATTTCAAAGGCGGCCTTGTCAGGGAAACAATTCTTAAACTTTCATCTATCAAAAACTAAGTACTCCAACTTCCTACCGCATTTCTTCCCTACAATACTTTTCAGCTGTTTTTATGTTTCATGTTATACCTTATGAAAACATAAACTGCTAAACTGGATGTTAGCATAACAATTAATAGCACTGACTATTCAACAAGTATTGTACCCAAGGCAAGGACTGCCTAGGCATTCTATTTAATTGCTATATAAAATTGCTCACAGAAAATTACTTTATGTTATGAAAAGGGCCTTAGGCATGACTAACAATATTTCACAACTAACCTGACAAAAAAACCAGACTCCAGGATGTGGAAATATATATGAAGATCATTTTCCAAAGGTGGAAAAAGATTTGTTTCGAACAAGCTGCAGAGCTACACAGTCTGTATATGGCAGAGGCAGGACTCCAACCAGAGCCTTTACACTACAGAGACTACTAGATTTCCCTTTGGCCTTTTTTTTTTAACTACTTTGTATTGTAGCTACCCATTCTATAAAGTTACTTTAAACATATCCGTACCTCCTAATGCTGCTACTCCAAGATATGGTGAAAAGTACAAACTCTATAACGTGGTTTGCATTTTATTCAAATTAAAACCTAGAACAACCCTAAGATTCTGAATGAGACAGACATTTCCCAATCCTAGAGGGCAACTACTTCATTTTGGGATTGATTTCAGTGACTGGGTCTACTAACAGCCAAGCTTAAGATTTTGCTCATAGTATTTTCTTTCCCTTCAATACCATCTAAGCTTTCATCAAGGACCTGTATGTTCAGAACAAAGAGGGAAACATTTTTTTGATTGACTTTCAAATTTTGCTAAGAAACATGTAACAGTTCTCTTTTGTTGTATAATAAATAACCACAAATTAGGACTTTAAAAACCCTGTTTACCATAGTGTAGTCTATACTTGGTTTAGTTGTGTTCTCTTCTCAAGTGCCACACAAGGCAGAGGAGGAACCCTGAAGGTATGCTCCACTCTTCATCTCAAGGTTATCCTTTTCACAGTTCATGGAATTCTGTCCCTTTACTGCAGTATTGCATGGCCTCGACTTTTTCACTAATATTTTTAATTAGCATAAAATAAACAGGTTTCCATGTGTGATGTTCATATTCCATTTGGGTGGATTTTCCCCTTACCCAGGTCCCTGTTCTCCCTTCCCCACACTGGACCCTTTTGTTTCAGTATTATTCCTTCTTCTTTGTTCTATTATTTTCCCAACATTCACCCTTAAAGCTTATTTCCCAACTTTAAAGGAAAAAAGTATGAAAATTTCAGAAAAAAAAATGGATGGAACTAGAAAATGTAGAAAACACAGTAACCCATGCTCAGGAAAACAAATACTATTTATTCTCTCTTAGATCCTAGCCTCTAACTCTTACATGTGTGTATTGAGGCCAGGGTAAATATGGATACTGACGGACACTAGAAAATGTCCATGAGATGAATCTCTGCTTTCTTGCTGGCCATGAGCCAGAGGCCACTCTGATCTAGTATAGCCTAGTTGTCATGTGTTTCTTCCCAGTACAGAGAACCTTTATTATAAATCAACAGACCATCTGCTGCAGCATGAAATCTCTAGCTTCTTCTGCCTCCAGCATTACAGAACTTGCTTTAGGAGAGCATATCTGATAAAATCAGGCCAGCAAATATCTTTGGAGAGTGAGACTTGTAGGGGGTCATCTTAAAATTCTACCCACCCCAGAAAGTGTATGTGCTGATGATTGTCTGAAACATCTAGTTTAAAATTGTTTATTTCCTTTCTCCCACAGTCTGGTGAGTGTCACAGAGGCCCCAGAGGACGACATGATCCTAGAGGACCACCACCTCCTCCTCGCCGTCCCTTTGGTCCAGGATTTGGTGGACCACCTCCTCCTCCCTTTGGTCCAGGATTTGGTGGACCACCTCCTCCTCCCTTTGGTCCAGGATTTGGTGGACCACCTCCTCCTCCCTTTGGTCCTGGATTTGGTGGACCACCTCCTCCTCCCTTTGGTCCTGGATTTGGTAGACCACCCCTTCCTCCTCCCTTTGGTCCATATCCACCTGCACAACCCAGACCTCCAACCAATCCCCCTCTCACTCCACCTCCTCCCCCAATACAAGCAAATATAACACCTAGTGCCAATATCTCCCTAACCACTGCTGCTGCCCCAAATGCCACTGACGATTTTCTGAGCTGGTGGCAAAGATTAATTTCTGCTTGGCAGCAAGGATGAGACAGTCCAAAGCCCTGTGAGAATTTGGGATAAATGATCTTTAAAGGCTTAAGAAACAATCCCTTCCCAAGCATTATACAAAATGAAAATAAAGAGCTGGGCAGCATTACGAAGTATCTGTTGTTGTCATCAGAGTGATTACTGTGCCATCTATTGTGGTACTTTAATAAAAGTAACCCTTCCATAAACCTAACCTTGTACCATGAGGAAAAGTGGTCCCTGGGGGACATACAATACCTAAGCTTGTAAAATAGAATCATGAGATATATGAATAGATAAGACGTCCTCTTGAGTATCCCCTATCAAATAATTACTAATTACAGAACACGTTAGTATATATTAAAAGAATTCTTCCACGCAGCATGTTCCTAAACGTTCTCTGGGTATTGAGTTATCATTGTATTTGAACCCAGGCAGATTCTGCATCAACGGACTTGACCAACCTTCCATGGAAAATATTCAAAAAATATGTGTACTGAGCATTTTTTTTCTGCTATTATTCCTCCAATAACTCATAGCTAATATATTCAGATAATATTGGTAATATCATGGGAATTATAACCAATCCAGAGATGATTTAATGTATGCAGGATGACCACATAAGTTATTGTACATTATTTAAAATGGAGTAATTGAACATCCACAAATTATAGTATGCAGAAGTCCCTACAACTAGTCCCCCAAGGTTACCAAAGGATGATAGTACTTATAGCTGGGATATCATATAAATTTGTATTTCTGAAGAAGAAGCATATTTAAGAAAATCAAAATGAGATGGGGGCATATTTGAAATATTGTTGATTTTTGTTTTGTTCTTTTCATATTCTATCTCTGAAGCCTACTCACATTTTTGAAGAAAAATTTAAATCGCCTAAATCTAAACTTCATGAAAATCTAAAAGCTATGGGGAAGCAAGTGAACCAGAAAGTGTCCTGGAAGTCTAAAGCCACTGACTACTTGGCCCAGGCTTCCTCTTCTCCTGCAAGCAGGAATCCTTGTCCTTCACTCTTGTGCTCACATAGCAGATACACTTCCCACCCTCTTTTCCTCTTTTGTCTCTTCTCCTCCCCAACCACCCAAGACCTAGACCACCCTCTGAAAATGTGGCAGCCTCTTCTGGTCCTCCCACTATGGATACCATCACAATGGCTTCCACTGCTTCTATCAGCAATGATACAGGTGCCAACTCCATCATTCTTCCCAGGACCCTCCAGCCTGAGGCTTCCACAAATGCTGTGGTAGCTAAGAACATCTCAGCAACCAAGAACGACACTACCCCAACTGATGCAGGTGACAGTGCCCCATCTTCTTCACATAACACCACCTCAACTTCTACCAGGACACTACTCTGACTGCTAGAAGTGACAAAACCCCAACTGATACAGACATAACCTCCCCTACTGCTAAAGGTGACAGCATTTCTAACAAGCACAGATTTTAGCACTCATGCTGTGGGCGGCACACTACAGCTGACTAGGCTTCACCACTCTCTAAGACGGCCAGTGTAGCAAAGTACAAGAAGACAAAGAAAACCATGGTAAATAATAATAATAATGAAAGTTTTAAAAGTATTTTCTAACTAGATGTGTGCATGCATACAAACATGTGTATCAGTAAGTGTGCTTGTATGCTTGTGTGACATGAGCTTCCTTGGCACAATCAATGAGAATAAGAGACAGTTCATAGACATGTTATCTAGGTTAGAAGCTCTTATTACCCTTTGTATTTGACAAATTCCAGGCTTTCAAATTCATGGCCTTTTTTTCTTAATTAATATTACATAAGAAATTTTATTGCACACATAATTAAGGCTTATATAAACATACTAATCATTTATTACTTATAACAATTATAATGTATATAAAATATGAGTATATAAAATCATTTGTTGGAAACTTCATTACAGGACCTCCAAACAATATCAAACTCAACAGATACTCAACTCTTAAAATGCCATGCTATGTAACTATAACATATATGTGTGTATGCATGTGTGTGTTATACATTCATATATATTTATATAGGAATATAAATTCCAATATATTTCAAATATTTACTAGATCAATTTTTAATAACAATTTTTATTTTGTGCAATTATAATCACTTCATTTTCACCAATCCTCGTTTTTAGTGTTCTTTGACATACTTTTTTTATTTAAAATTTTTATTTTCATTTTACATACCAATCACAATTCCTACTTCCTCCCCTCCTCATACTTCCCCTCTACTTCCCCCCTCCCCCCTGTCACCCGAGGCCCCATCTACTCCTCAGAGAGGGTAAAGCCTTCCACGGGGAGTCAACATATCAAGTGTAGGCAGGACCAAGCCCCTCCCCCCTGCATCAAGGCTGAGCAAGGTGTCCCTCCCTAGGGAATGTCACCCTTCCTTTAACTCCCTCCAAAGCTTCCCATATGCCATTCCATGCTCTCTTGAAATCCTCCTTTTTTCTCATTGACTGCTGTTACATGTATTCCTCAATATATATAAATACAACATCCTGTGTCTGGTGATGTAACTTATATGCGTATGATCTCAGGGATGAGCATTTTTTATTGGTGATCCAACTGGGAAGCACTTCCCTGGAAAAGACTATTGCTCCAACTCTCAGTCTTAATTGTCTGCAGTTCTTTGTCTGGCATTGAGGCTTCATGAGCTTTCTTTCCCCTTTCCATGTTAACATGACTATCAATGTCATCCTTTCCCAGGTCTTGTTCAGACAGCCATGTTGAGACTTCACAAATGTAGCTTCTCTGATATTTCTGAGACCCAATATCACAGAAAACTCCCTGTTCCTCTGGCTCTTACACTCCTTCTTCCCCCTTTTCTGCAATAATCCCAGAGTCTTAGGTGTAGGAGTAATGCTGTATATGTTTCAAATGGAACTGGGCAACACAGAATGTCTTTTCTTCATTTTGATTCATTTTGGTTTTCTGTAATGTGCTCCATGAGTTGAAATGAAAATTTCTTTGATGGGAGGTGAGAACTTACTTATCTGTGGGTAGAGGAATAAATATTAAGCATTAAGCATGTAGTTGGGGATTACTGTGGTTTACTAATGTAGTACTTTAAGTTCTCCTCCAAGATCCTGACCTCTCTAGCCTTGGGTAGTTGGCTAGGTTCCCAGTCCCAGGCATGAATGCCCTTTTGTTGAGTAGGCCTTAAGTTCAACTAGACAGTTCTTGGTTATCAAAGTATGTGTAGCACCATTACACCCTTAGAGTTACAACGCCATGGTAATCATTGTTGTGGTTCATAAGCATCATAGCTGGCTAAGACTGCTGGTTGCTGCTCTCCCTTAGAAGTTTGCATGGCAATCTGTGGTATTATGAAAGCTAGTCCTCAAAGAAGAAGCTCTCAGGTCACATTATTTTTAAAATCTAGCATAGAATAAGTATTGTGAGAATTGCTGTGCTGTTATAAGAGGATAATGACAAGGAGAAAGTCTTTGTCTAACTACCTACAATCCACAACTGTAGATGCCATGGAAACAGAATCTGTAGATGTGGAGAGTTGATTGTATATGAAATTATCATCATTAAAAATAGCTACAATGAGACCCAAGATCCGGACGTGTAGGCTCTCTTGGTTCCTGGTGATCCTGGATGCTGGAAGACAGACCGAGTCAGAGTTCTCCAGAGAACCCCGCTGGACTGTACCTCACCTCTCCCAGATCCTGTAACCATCTCCTTCACTGGTTGTAAGTTACCCCAAAATAAACCTCCTTTTTAACTAAAAAAAAAAAATAGCTACAATGAAGAGGTACAAATAAGTGTTGCCCTTAAAGATATCATCATCGATAAAAGCATATGTCCTAAAAATCATAGGAAGAAAAATGTCAGCTTCCTAACATTCTCTGTATGACTATCTCACACACTATTTCTTCCCCTATTTCCCAAAGATTACTCAAATAACACTTTGTACTGCTTCCTCTGTGGATCATTTTACCTGAAGTTATTTTAGAGCAATCAATATGTATTCGATAAGACTGTGTATGTACCCAATGATAAAACACTTTCCCGATCATGTGCAAGGCCATAGGTTCCAATCCCCTGTACTTCTGAAACAATTTACTCAAATGATTTCACAAAACTCCTTCAGTTGTAAGAGCTAGGAGCACAGGAATAGGAATACACTATTCCTTCACTATTGGTCAGAGGTTCAAATAACAAACAGAGAAAAAAGACAATAAGCTCAAAAAAAAAACTACAAGTAACTTTTAAAAAGGAAATTATAGGTAAACTTGTATAAAAATCCAAGCACTATTGAGTAAAGAATACAAAAGATTTTCCATTAGAGGAGCAAACACAGAAAAACTGTTGTGGATATTTCTATGAGGCACATAATCAAAATATTTCTGAATCAATGAGTTAACAGTAACTTCATATTTTTTAATTAGGTGGCTGTGGCATTCTTGCATTCTCAGAACATATGATTATTACCTGCAAGAAACCGCAGACTAGCAACATTCTGTCACAGAGAAGGGACGAGCTTAGTAGGTGCCGTCCCTTCCTTAAGATCTATAAGAACTGGATGGTTGATGGGAGATAAACATTTCCTTCAGTGATATAGTCACAGGCAAGTTGTCCATGTCTCCCACTCATCCTCCTTTAAGCATCCCTAACTAAACTCTTTAAGACTCCAGGAGAAAAGAGACATGAAATAGAGGAGAGACTAGCTAGGAAGAATGAAGGGATCAGTGGAAGAGAGGGAGTGATAAGATAGAGTATAGGGGATAAATGGTGAAAAATACACGTATAAATGTAGGATAAAGTGCGAAAGACAATGTCCTGTCTTACAGAAGAAGCTTTCAGTTTTATGAGGTCTCATTATTAATTGTCGATCTTAATGCTTGTGCTACCGGTGTTCTGTTTAGGAAGTCATCTCCTGTGCCAATGCATTCAAGGCTATTCCCTACATTCTCTTCTATCAGGTTCAGTGTATCTGATTTTATGTTGAGGTCTGTGATCCACTTGGACTTGAGTTTTGTGCGAGGTGATAAATATGGATCTATTTGCATTCTTCTACATGCAGATATCCAGTTAAACCAGCACCATTTGTTGAAGATGCTTTCTTTTTTCAGTGTGTATTTCTGGCTTTTTTTAAATCAAAAATTTGG